TCTGCGGGCACCTTGTACAAGAGCTAATGAGATCATTCTTTCGCTTACAGTGGGCAAGGGCTTCTTCTGCCAGTGCACACTGAGTGCTGACTCTTACCTATTACACAAATCTTTGTCTGTGTGTATTTGTGCAGATGTTCCTAGCATATACTGTCTTTGATTAATAACACCCTGTACACAGGAAAGCAAGTGCCCTGCTCCACTAGGCTCACACAGTTCATGCCCTCTTTATCATATAGCTGTTCTTTAGAGAAACAGCCTCTGTTTGAATGTAACTTTAAAATTACCTAACCAATTTCAGATGCCTAATAAGGGAGCCCCAAGGGACCACACAGTATAGACAACATATACCAATTTGGTTCTCTGATCCATCAAACATAAATATGGCAGGCAGTGACAATGCTCCATTACCAAAGAGTAGTAGTGCATTTGGGATTGGCCTGGCGTGGGGCCCACAAAGTGCCTGTGACTTACACAAGGCTCATGCTTTCTGTAATACCTACCTGTCCATTACATTGCTTAACTCACCCCTAGGGCCTGGTTCAGAACACCCGATAACCAGCTTCCAGGAGAAAAGAAGCTAGGAATATGGTTTGTAGATGAACCTTGATAAGGAGGAGCTGGAGGTTGAGCTGCTGCCCAGCTTAGTTCTGCCCCTGCTAAGAAGCATGCAGGGAGGAGCGATCCCTCTGGGAATCATGCTCTCTTTATCCGGAAAGCACTCTGTCATCCCAGCACTTTGGAGAGTTCAGAGGCAGAAGTATCAGGAATTTAGGGGCAATCTAAGCTACATGGGTGTGTTTGAGGCCAGCCTGGGCTACTTAAGACTCTGTCTCAAGAACTTACACAAAGCAAACAGAAAGCAACCTCAAGAAAAACACTAATCAATGCTCAGTCAGGCTAGAGGGCCAGAAAATAATGAGAAAACTTGGAGACATGATAGTGATATTGATATCAGAATCAAATACTTCAAAGGCACATGTAATGTACCAGGCATAGTTCCGATTTCTTTGCATGCAGATACTTTGAGCAGTAACGAACAGCTCTCTCAGAACAGACTGTGTGGGAATATTTTTGTCCTAGTAACTCACCAACAGCTTTCTTCAGGCAGCTCAGTGCTTGTTCAATTAACTAGTGTACAAATTGCCCCAGTACAACAATAGTTGTTATAATTTCCAGATGGGTTGCCTTTCACATTTAACATTTAGCTTATAACATTTTATCTAGTCATTATTAATCTTGTGTTCAATTAAAACAAAGAGCGATAATTATGCTATTGCAATATGGCATGCTGGGGATTGAACCGAGAGCCTTCTGCATCATGGCAGGCAAGGACTCTACTACCAAGTTACATCCTCTGTTCTTTTACTTATTATTTAAGACAGGCTCTCAGTACTTTCTCCAGGCTGGCTGTGAACTCACTCTGCAAACCAGGCAGCCCTTGAACTTAGACCCGCCTAAGTAGTTGGGATTGGAGGCCATGTTTTTTTGTTTGTTTTGTTTTGTTTTTTGGTTGTTTGAATTTTTTTTTATGCATGCAGCTTAACTATGTTGCACCATGACAGTATACTTATGGAAAACAAATTTCAAGGAAAGGAAACAATTTGGACAAAAACATCTACAAGTGTTTTAGAAGGTGAAATTGTTCAAAGGGCTCTTCCTACTCCTAGACAAGAAGATACGTGATATAATGTAGAATTATTTGGATTTAACCAAAGATATCTTAAAGGCCTGAAAATTGCAGTGCCCATTGGTTACAGTAATGGCATCCAGGCTGATAAAAGTGACAAAGACAAGGTCTTTTCATTATATTCTCTTCCATGCTGCAACCCACTTGCCAGGAATGACTTTTCTCTCCCTGTCCCACTTACCTTCAAGGCCTAAAACTTGGAAAAGAGCCCACACCTAAGTTTCCCAAGAAGTAAGAAACCAGTGGCCTATGGAGGTCACATAGCAAGGGCAGAATTCTTCATGATTGTCTCACTCTAAGCTCTATCAAGCACTTTACAATCCAGTTTTATATTAGGCACACAGTCCCTGAGCATTATCTCCCAGTCCCTATTTTTTACAGAGGCATCACCTGCCATTGAGGTAACCTTTAGTGCAGTACCCACTGACTCCTTCCTAGGCTGCCAAAGCTGACTCTGCCTATCCTAGGTACCTCCAGCTTCTTGATGAGACCATGACCCAAATGGAAGGGCCTGCTTCTAGTGAAGACATCCCCAGAAGTGGAAGTAGGTCTGAATTGATGGCCATAGTTAAGAGCGGTTCCTCTCTGGCTGGAGTTTTTGTTTGTTTCTTAAATAGTACTTCCTAAGCAGTAAATGTTGCTTTTAATTGTATAGAGTGGAAGAGGTGGCCATTACAAGAGCCTCATTGCCCACTAGACTTTCTCAGCCACTGGGACTGTTTGTCATAGGAATGTTGTTGTCATAGAGATGGTGATGGATTCTTCCCAGAGAAAAAGGAGGGAAGACCCACAGACTCAACTCAATCTCCAGTGGCCTTTGTGCCATGTTCCTCAGTGTGCAATGGCAGGAACTACCTTTAATCGCAGGAGAGAACTTTGGGTTTCTTGGCTCACAGTGTTCCCCTCCATGCCCATTCTTGTTTCTATACAGGTGATTAGATGCCCGTATGGATAGCTCAATTAACACCCTGGCCTTCCAAGCCATCATCTTCTTAGACATAAGCACTCCACTGTGACGGAAACTTAAGTTCTCTCCCTACCTTTCCCTTAAACACCTGGAATACAGTCAGACATGCAACAGCCACCAAAGATACTTATTCAATTTGGCGCCCCATTGAACTTAAGACTCCTCCTCACAACCCCCCACACTAGTCCTTAATCCACCTCACATGTTTTTCCACATCTGCCTAAGTTCCATTGTTCAGTTCCTTCCACCAATCTTTGTAAGTACTGTTTAAATCAGGCACTAGAACACAGTAGCCAAGATCTAGTCACACTCACTGCTCTTGGTCCTGAGTTCTTATTCTAAACCCAAAGGATACAACCTAAACCTCAAATTAAACCAATACTTGTTTTCTTGGTTCTATACCTCGAATGCCAGTCATGCTGTCTCCAGCCCTTCCTGGCCATAATCATGAGCTCTCTGCACTATCAGTATCTTCCCACATTTGACATCTCCTCTTTAAGTCCTGTCTGGACAGTGTATTCTCCCAGGCTTTCCAGCAATCCAGGCCTTTCCTCCTCTCAGGGACTGGGCTGCATGGATCAGTGTTCAACTCCCCCCCACACACACACACACTGGCTTCTACCTGGTCATGTCACACTTTTCTTCCATGGGAAAATGTTTCTTTTGTTTGGGTCTCTCTAACCATTCACTTTTCTTTACACCTTTCACTCCCACTTCTCAAAAAGGAGAGTCAGGCTCTTTTGAAACAGTGTCTTCTGAAATTACAATCCCCATGACTCTCCCCATGGAAAGCCTACCTACCCTACAGGAGAGCAGTGCGTGACCTATTCCAGAGAGATGTGCTATTTTATCATTCTCAGGAATCCAACCAATGAGATGGAAACTTTGCCAATGGTTCTTAAAATGTGACAGTCTACCAAATAAGCAAGAAACTCAGAAATGGCAAATTGATTTAATACAGAGTGTCGACTTCAGTTGATTGATAGTGGCTGCCTAGAGTGCTGGGTTGAGTAGGTTTCTGAGAGCGCACCCTGGCTTGAGAAGATGACGCTGGAATTATTAGCAATATCTGCAAACACAAGTAAAGGAAAATCAGTCAGTTGATATCTAACAAACAGGACACAGTAAATCACAGCAGCATATTTGTACAAGCACCAAGCTTCTCTCTACCCAGCAGTCTGATTCCCGGCCCACCCCCATGAGCCCCAGCTGCCTCACTGCCACCACGACAAATACCTGCATCTCACTTATAGGAGAAACCACAGGCACCAGGGCTGCTGCTGGTACTGGCCCCAGCTCCACTAAGGCCAGCGAAGAGCCCAAATGTGAGAGTGGCAGTCAGGTTGGAGCTGGTACTGAAGCCACCACTGGCACCAGCACTGCCACTGGCACTGCCACCAGCACCAACATTGGTACTGGTACTGGCACTGGCACTGGTGCCACCACTTCCTTGGGCTTTGGCTTTAGTTTCCACTCCTGTCTGGATCCGGGCCTTTGCCCAGGGTCCAATATCAGCTTCGTCCCAGTTGCAGGGCCCAGCAGCATTCTCAGAGCCAAGCCCGATGCCCATCTGAGCTCTAATCTCAGCCCTCGCCTTCGCTTCAGCAGCAGCCTCAGCTGCAGCCTTCAAATCTGCTTCCATTGCCTCTCGGTACTGAGCTGCCCATTCCTTGGGATCCTTCTTTTGTACCTGAAATGGAAATAATAACCCTTAAAAGGTTCACAACCAGAGAATTCAGCACCTTCTGTTGCAAAGACAGCATACTACCTGCTGTAGGTAATTTAACTGTACAGTTAGTACTACAAGTAATCCTGCCACAACCAGTCCATACCTTCCTCACCACTTAACTGGCTCCATGATTTGGACATATCACCCACCAACTTCTTTGAGGCTGCTTTCACATAGGCAATACAACAATGTCACATCAGTTGTAAGGACTAAATGATCTAGGCACTGTGCGTGTCACAGGATTTGATAACTCAGAACCTTTGAAGTATCCACATATAAACTTCAGGACACTCTAAGCATAGAATCCCCCATCACAGGGCACCGCATAACCTTCATATGCCAAGCACAAATGGTTCTCCAATTACCTTACAAGCAAACTTGAGGACTTTCATCTTGCTGGTCTCATAGTAAGAGCGTAGGCCCCAGAAGAATTCATACTCAGGAGGATTGCTATTGGGTACTCTGGCGTAGTCCAAGTACCTTTAAAAAAAGATTCAAAGTCTATTTCTAGGTCAACTGTGGACCAGTCATAAATGGACTAGATAGGCCTTCCCCCAAACACAGCCTTATCCTACTGGTCAGGTCCTAAAGCCATGTGGAAGAACTGCAGAGAAATGTGTAGGGCACTTGCTCACAGGAGGGCACAGTGTTGTGCTCCTTGTTACAATAGGCCCAGGATTCTGTTGGGTGTGTTGTAAACAGAGAGGACACTCTTCAGGGTCTCTGCTCTGAGCACACCACACTGCAAAGATTTGGAAAGAGGACTGACGCTCTGGAAAGATCCACTATTAAAAAAAAAAAAAAAGACTCGCCAGGTATGGTGTCACATGCCTTTAATTCCAGCTCCCTGGAGGATGAAATTAGATGATCAGGAGTTCAAGGTCATCCGTGTGTGTGTGTGTGTGTGTGTGTGTGTGTGTGTGTGTGTGTGTGTATGTGTGTGTGTGAAAGAGAACCCTTATTCTTGATTGACCATTTCTTTCTTTATAATCTGTCTCTGTTTCTCTCTGTCTCTGTCTCTCTCTCTCTCTCTCTCTCTCTCTGTGTGTGCATGTGTGTGCGTGTGTGTGTACTCATACTCCTAAGCACACCCGTTCCTCTATGTGAGTGCTTGCATATTCCTCTCTGATGCCAAGTGATACAAGGTAGACGCCTAGTTACAAAGTCAACAGGCCAGCCCAAATGAGTCCTTTTTTTCTTAAAATCACTTGTGGGCCATGCTCAACCACCCCTCATAGGGAACACATCCCTCCCCTGTAAATGTAAATAATATACAGTTATATAAATGAAATCAAATGCACAAGTCAGCATTCTCTTGGGTTGCCTAAGGGTAGTGCTCAAGGCCATTTTAATGGAAACTTTTTGAGAGAGGGGGGGTTTCTCTGTGTAGCCCTGGATGTTTTGGAACTCACTCTGTAGACCAGACTGGCCTCAAACTCAGAGATCTGCCTTCCTCTGCTTCTCAACTGCTGGGATTAAAGGCGTGCGCCACCACCGCCCAGCAGAAATTAATTTATATAAAGCACTACTTAGGAAAGTAAAAAAAGCCATGTTTTAAAGGCATCTTTCATTTGCTACCTGTGTATCCCAGTCTTATTTTACTTCATTAAGACTGTTTCTACACATGTACAAGGCTGTCAGCAACCCTTTTCTCACAAAGTTATTCAGAAGTCACATATGAAACAAAAATCTGTGACTGCTCCCAGAAATCACCTGCCACTAGCATATACACATGCACACCTTCAGACTACACACACATACAGCACACATCCATTATCAAAATAGACAAAGCACATGGAACACGTCAGCAACCAAACCAATATCACTTACTTTTGCTTCACAAACTCATCAGTGATGAGCTTTTTCACGTCCCCAAAGAGTGAGTGATGTATCCTGAGAACACAGAAAGCTGAATAAACAAATAAATATAATCAAATCTGTTACACTTCCCAGTTGCTGGCAGCAGCATGCCCAGGATAGAAAAGAGAGATACAGCACAGAGACACCTCTGTGGAAGCTCAAGAGATGGTGAGAGGGTGAGCATAGACAAGAGCCATTTCCACATCCATACAGGTCAGAACCCTGGGCCCACTACCCAGCCCAGTATCCCTCCTCCTCCCACCCATTGCTCCACTAGACCACCAGACTGATGCAATTCTGGGACCGTCCTCTTTTGCCAAAAGACAACACGGACAGCAAGCGCTGAAAAAGCCCAATCATACCCAGGGCGCAGCCCCAACTTGCGCAGCACCTCCCAGATGACAGCTGCAAGAGGAAGCGAGAAGGAGACAAAGAAAGAAAGTGAGCACTTTGAATTCAGACAACAGCACCTATTCAACTTCACACCCAGCCACTCACCCTCACTGGACCGATTTCCATTCATGAAGATGATGCTAAGAAGCACCATGAGGAGACCCAGCTTAGGTGAGTCCTTGGTCCTAAGATAGAAAAGTTTGTCTGTGAACCATAGGTCAAGACATAACTCATTAGGTCAGCCTCTCTTAGATTCTTCAGATACAGAGAAATTCAGCACACTCTATGGTCCTAGATACTCCAGTCAGTAAGATGGAAAACCACATGCTACCCCTACCTCGGATTAGGAGAACATGGAAGAAAGCCTGTCAACCGAGGCCATGTGGCATGCAGTCAACCAGAGTCTTTTCTTTCTCTCCCAAAGGCACAAACGCTCCTGAGAGAGTTCTTGATGAAACCCTAGTGACACTCCTGCTCTCAAGCATCATGGTCCACACCAGAAATCCCTCCATCCTTTGAGAGCTGCCCTTCCACAGTCAGGCCAGGCACTCCGTAGAAGACACAAGTAACAATAGGCTGATTTCCTGGGAGTTTGTTGGAGAGAAAGCCAACCTGACAGCAGGAATTCCCCACTCCAGGCTCTGAAACCCTTCTGTCAGTCATAATCTGGCTCCACTACTGCCCACAGGCATCCAGCCATGTGTAGGAGCTGGGACAGGGCCTTTTAGGCCCTCTTTCCTGAGCTGCTAAGAGCATATGAAGAAAGGGATAGATGGAAGCAGAAGCCCCTCCCAACCCTAGCACATTCCCAGCTTACGTTCCCAGTATGCCTGCATCAGTGGGCTCTAAGGTACTGAGAAGAATGTACAAGTGGTCACTCTTGTCAATTTCTTTCAGTTGGATTCCAAATACCTGTCAAAAGGGAGAAGAGCTTATAAAACCATAAAACTCAGCTTCCTGGGGATCCTGTAGCTACTCTTATAGCTAAGCATGTGTGTATGTGTGGGTGTAAGAGACAGAGAAATTCATAGAATCTTTGTAATCGGTGGAAATTTAGGGAGACACAGAGGTGAACATCTGCAGTACTCTGACAGTGTATCTAGCAGCAGACAGAAGACAGAACTCAGCTGCATAACGTTAGTACTAGCTGTGTTTCCACCACTGACTTGCTGTGTGGTCAGTGGCTATCTCTCCCTAGGCCACCATGTGCTCATTTACAAAGCGATGGTAATGTAGTTAGTCTCTGTGCTTCCCCCGCCCCAGGAGGGTGGTCATATACCTTTCTTCTGTTTAAAGTTTTCCTGGAGCACCCCCCTCCCGGGCTGCCCCTTCACCTTCTCCAAGGAATAGCCTGCTCGTTCAATGATTTCAGGGTATACATCAGTATATTCTTTGATGATGTCCTTCAGCATATCTGCAAATGGAGAGTGTTGCAAGCATGTATACTGTAAGGAATACCAGGCGACCCTCATGCTCAATCAATAGACCCTTTGTTGTCCATGCCAGGGGTGGCATAACCAGGTTTGGAGCTTATCAATAGAGATACCACTCTTGGGAGACTTTGGGAGAAGATACAGGAGGAGGAGGAGAGTGAAGAATGTTCTCAGTACATTGGAGAAAAGACAAGAGAAGGCAGAGCTCAGAAAAGGGAAAGTGTTTTTAGGACTCTACCTGAGCGCCTGATGGGAATCTTTGTCTGATCTTTAGCTAACAGGTACTTCACCAAATCATTTGCCTAGGAGAGAAGGAAACGGTGAAAAGACTGAAAATATAGTCGCAGAAAACTCCAAAGACAACAGAGATGTCAGGCAAGGCAGTGGGAAATGGGGATGTAGGGATGGGGTTCATACCCTCCCCTGTAAAAGAGCCACATCTCTGGCTGGGGGTGCTTCAGGTTCTTGGGATGACTGCAGCTTGGCAGCTCTTCTTCGGGCCTTGCCTCTCCGTGCTCTAGGTGACCTCAGGGACAGCAAAGCTCTCCGAGCCCAAGCAGCCAACCGAGTCCTTGATGCCCTGCGGGCCCAGAAGGCTATAGGTCCCCTTGAAGCTCTGCGGGCCATGGAGGCCATTAGGGCCTTTGAGACCCTTCGACTACCCGTGGTTTCTGAAGGCTGACTTTGATCACTGTTGCCATCCTCTTCCCCATCCAGGTGTTTCACCTGCATTCAAAAAGGGGACAGTCAACATCAGCAAGTGATGCGAGTGATTCTCTCTTCCAGCTCAGTCTCTTCCAGGAATCACCCCCAACCTCATCTCTTCTGGGATATATCCCCTAATGCTGCCCTTGCTTCACTGGACACTAAGCCATCCTGAGTCATGGGTTTTATCACTGTCTAACAGTTGGGAATTTCTTCCCTGACTGGATCAGAACAAGTCAGAAGTAAGGCCTGAGGCCTTTCATCTTCCTACATCCAACACTGATTCTTCTTCTACCACCCTGGACTAGCCCTGGACAACAGTTTCCTTCTCTATCACAAGGAGTTATTTTCAGATATGGGACTACACATGTGACTGTACCCATCTCAAGGCCTACAATGTACAGCTACTATGTAAGTATATACCTTATCACATTCAGACTGCAACTATGTATATTCTTGCCTTATCTTCCCACCAGCCTGAGAGCTCTGTGGATACAAGAACTGTAACACATTCCTCTTAGTGGTCCCTTTGTCTTTCATGAGTACAGGAATCCTTTTAATGTTGGCCAAACAAATGAACCAAATGACAAGATGAATGTGAGGAAGTGAGGACGGTTATGGCAGCGGTCTTACCTTTTGGGTATTCTTGGCTTTGACCTTGGGCCGAGTATCCTGATTCTCCTGAACCTGAACAGCTGCACCCTCAGGCTCTGGTTCATCTGCCCCAGGCTTAGAGGCAGCAGCCTCAGTCTCCGGAGCCTTTGTACTGCCCTTTGGGTCAGTAACACAGCTGGCGTTTTTGGTCTGGGCTGCAGGCACTGTCATAGCCTGCAGGTCAGCCTTCTGCGTCTTGGTGTCAGCGGCTGGACTCTTGTTTACAGCTGCCAGAACCTGCTGGGTATCAGTCAGCTGTGTGGGAGGTGAGGCCTGGGTGGCAGCTACCTCAGGAGCCTCTGGAGCCTTTGAGACCTCTGTGGCCTTCGGGTTCCCAGTTGCTTCTGGAACCTTTGCAGCCTCTGAGACCTCTGGTGCCTTTTCAGGCTTTGGTGTCTCTGAGACCTCCAACTTCTGGGTCACGGTCAACAGGTCCTGCATCATGGAGCCGCTGTCCTTTTTTGACGCTTTGCCCTGCAAGGGGAAGCAGGGAAGTTCACTGACCTTCTTTCCACCCTCAACGATGCAAATGGTCCCCAAATTCTGAGGCTATGTTTCTCTAACCTGTAAAGACTCCTACCTGCACTGTGCTCTGACCACCACAGCCTAAACAGGCCTCCCTTTCCCCTGAGTAAAAAGTAATGACAGAACACGGGCCCACCCACCCTCTCTCCCTTCCCCCCTGGTCTCCCCTTC